GGGAGGAAGGAGAACCGGGGCAGCCTGTGCAGCGGGACCTCCTCCCTAGCCGCCGCCGCCGCCGCCGCCGCCGCCTCCTCTGCCTCCGCCGCTGCTGCTGCTGCTCCAGGAGTGGGGACCGTGATCTCAACCCCACCACGAACCAAGTTTGCACAATTAATCTCAGCAGCGTGACGCCGGCGGACACTTCATTCGGCCCCTCACTCAGCACGATCACGCCGGCTACGAGTCACTGACACAGCACACGCACACCCGTCTCAGCACCGCCAGTCTGAATGCAACACACCGACAGAATGACATTATTCCGCTTACTTTGGAGGACCATGGCTGCAGGCAGTTGGCATAGCAACGCACAAGGAAAGCCATTTCCTGGGGAGGGAGACAGCTTCCTTCTCTAAATACAAAATTCCTCCTAGGAAGCAAATGGCATCGCTGCTCCTGCGGGAAGCCAGGCACTGTAGTCTGCCTCCTAACCTGCAAGGCTCTCCCTCGATGCAGTCCTAGTGATGTAAGTGGATCTCGCCCTCCCTCTCCCTCTTCCCTGAGACACTCGGCTCCAGCAGCACACACATTCCTCCGGGCTCGCCCCTCCGCTTCACCACTGTGCTCACTGGGAGCGGCAGCACTCCGAGAAAGTAGCGCTCTTGCCTCCTTACATCAGCGGCTGCAGGTGAAGAAGTCTCCCAGGGATGGGGTCCCTCCACTGCTGACTCCGGATGATACCACCCAAGACAGTGGAGGCGGAGAAGGGCTTTCCTGAACAGCTCTGAACTAAAGTGGAATTCTTCAAGGTGAGGATAAAGGAATCCATGTGGGCTCCACCCTGCCCTCAGCATCACCGTGCTGCAGTAAATAAGTACCCACCAGAAATGTATAAAATGCACACTTCGCAAGCTGTGTGTGGATGTAGATGTGATTTTCACACATCCCCACACACTGATGTGCGCACTACCTTGCCAATGATATGAAGCCCGCCCAAGTTTTTAGGCGTTTGTCTTTCTGAAAGCAAACAAACAAAACTTCTAGCTGTGGATCTGAAATTAAATGAGAATAATTATGCAACCATAAACTCTTAATGTCTCCTAGGGCTGGATTTATGTAAAAGATGAGAAGGATTGAGGATGACTGCTCCGTGAAACGACGGTCGGTTTCTTACAGTCAGATCTAGCACACAGAACAGAAACAGGTAGGAAGATCTAGCACCTTCTGTAGTGGACAACGCCATTGTCAGCCCTTGCTACCTGTTTCTTCTCCATCCTAAGACGCACCATCCGGTTCTCCTTTCCTTCCTCCTCCTCCTCCTATCTGAAGGCAGCCTTTCTGTCTGGTGCCTCTTTCTGATCCTTCTCACGCCCAGCCCCGCGCGCCTCTTCCTCAGACTTCGGATCCAGGACCCCAGCTCTCATTCAACCTCTCCTCCTGCCCTCAACTGGCATCTGCGAGCTCTGGTGTCTCCAGGCTCAGAGACAAAACAGACACCTTCCCTAGACCCTGTCTTTCTCTGCAGCGACGGCCCCACCTCTGCCTTACGCTCCCTGAGACAATCTCTGCAGTCTCTGCTGCCTTCCACATCCCGTGCTCACTCAGACAAAGGACCACGGTGACCCTGTTACACAATTCATGTATCTACACGTTGTCCTTAGTACCTGTGCCCTGTTCCATCCACCATAACATCCGTTAATTCTCTAACTTTTCTCTGGTCTAGATCTCTCTCCATCTGGGATGTGATCACACAAGCCAGCCATTACTTTTCGTCTCCATAATCACAAAAGTCCTCAATCGACTACCTGGATTTAGTTCTGACCCTACCATACCACCCCTGCATACCATACCACCTCCAGGATCTTTCAAACACTAAGTCTGATCATTTCACCTTCCTCCCCAGTGGCCTCTGACAGAGTCAACCACTCCCATGGCTTCCCACGCTGCCCACCATGAAGACCACAGCCCGTTGCGGCTGCGAGAGGAGCAGCTTCCCAGGCCCACAGCACACTCACGCGCTCGCCTTCGCACTCCAGGCCGCTGGGGCTGCTCCTGCCTCCCGGGTGGACAAAAGAGCCTCTGCTGCACACTTTCCTCCCTCCTTCCCTGACTCCCAGCCCCCGGACCACGCCCGCTGGTTCTCACAGTCGTGTCCACCTCTCCACTGAAGAACCAACGCTCCGCGGCTGTGATGTGCCACCTGGGCCCGGACGTGTGAACGGCGAGTCCCTCCGGCAGGCCCTCTATTCCGTCCGTGGTGGCCGGCACCAGGCTGGCCTGCATGTGTCACGGCACCGCCGGCACCCCCATGGTGCACACTTGCGGCCACTCGCATTTTTGTGGAATGAATGAAATCCCCACCGATGTGAACGGACATTGGCAAAGCCACTGATCTCTGAGAAGGTTCCTGTCAAATGCCTGACGCTTTTCTATAACAGACATAAGAATCTGAAAGCAAATGGCATCAACGTGTTGAGGCTGCAGAGCTCCAACTGTGGGCAGAGTGTGAGCTCGAGGAGAGGAGAAGCTTCTGGAGATGGACGATGGCAATGGCTGTGTACCACGGGAGGAAACGGAATGCCACGGAACCGTGCACCTAAATGGTTAGACTGGGAAGCTGTAACGTACCATTTCATCACAAGAAGAAAAGGAGATGGCAACTCCGCGACTGCACAGTCGAGCTCCACATTTCCCACCCAGCCCAGGCCCCAACACACCCATGTCCCAAAAAGTCCTGTCCCAGCTAAAGCCAAAGTCAGTCCAGGCTGATGGTGTCCGAACTCGTATGTGACGGTTTCCCGCCGCTTGCCTCTCTCTGGAAAAATGTGTCACTTCTCTAGAGCAGGAAACTAACCTCATCAGGGGACCCACGAGATGAAGAGAGAAACTCTCGTCTGCAGGCACCGAAGCCTTCCGCGCTGGGCTCGGCGATCTCTGCGCCACCGGCCGCATCCAGACTCAGGACTGAGACACTGCAGGGCCAGGGTCCGCACTGTCGGGCACACGAGGTGCAGTCTTACCAGGTACAATAAGCCAAACACCGCTCGCGAAACAAAACTAAACTCAAGATTTAGGGCTCCTTGTAGCCCTACATTTGGTCATCCTTAACAAGTGGATTTAGCAGACGGCATTAACATCAGCTAAAACTATGTAGCAGCGTTACGCCCTGGGTCCATGTCCAGTCTGTACCAGTACCAGTGTTCCGGATGGAGACGCACAGCTCGGGACGCGATCTAACGTAACGGCTCTCCGTGCTAAATGGAATACTACGGTATTCCTTCATACTTATTCCACCGACAGCAGTTGTTTCCTAATTACTGTGAAATTGAGAAAAATGGTCCGTTTCCTCCCAGTGATTATTAATCATCTTTAGAACTTACATGGTGCTTATCCATAGATCCCAATGTGCTTTACAAACAGGTTCATCAGAACCCAAGGGAAGCATGACAAATAACGTGTGTACGTTTCAGCACAAGATAGGATGTGAGATTGTAGAGTTAGGTAGAAGAATACAAGACGGAACTGCAGTTTCTAACCGTGCTTTACTGCACTTAATAATTACATAATTGCCCTTAATAATTACATAATTGCCCTTAATAATTACATACTGACTTCTTTCTTCTCCCCCCAACCCAGGGGAAAAATTATAGAATTTGAGGAAAACATGTATGTGAGATAGGAAGAAATTATTCTGATACCTAGAAACAAAAATTTTTACAAATCTGAACCCTCATGTTTTATTTTTCCGAAATGAAATGACATTTAAGGTGGGCACGTTGGCACATGCCTGTAATGCCACTGCTGAGGGAGGCTGAAGCAGGAAAATCACAAGTTGAGAACCTCAGAACAAGTTAGCAAGATCCTGTCTCAAAAAAAAAGTCATTTAAATTTCTTCCTAAATACACTAAACCAATCAAGCCAAAGCAACATAAAGGATAGTCAGAGTTTCCCTCTTTTTCTAACCCAAACACCACTCCCCCATACTGATACTGTCATTTCCTTCACCAAGTTGACTGATAAACTCTCCCTCTACCCTCACGTATCCTACTGCTCCCGTTACCGCACAGCTTCTCCAGGCACCTCACCCAGGGCATCCCAGAGGAGCCCCACACAGCAGGACTTCCGGCACACCTTTTGAGGCAGGGCCTCGCTGTAGTTCAGGCTGCCGTGAACTCACTGTGTGGCCCAGGCTGATCTCAAACTCATGCAGTGATCCTCCTTCCTCACCCTCGTCAGGGCTGGGATCACAGGCTTGTACCACCACACCTAGTAAATTCACTATTAAACACAATTTAATTAGTAAATAAAATCTGAAGGAAACCAACACACTGTCTTTGACACACAGTGAATGCCGAGTAAACACCTAAGTCTGACGTAAATAAATGCAGGCTTTAGAAATACTGGGCATCTGTGACTCGGGCAGATAGATGTTCAGTGTTGGAAAAATCTAATGGACAGTCCAAATGGAGATCACCCAGATGCAGTCCAGAGAAAAATTCTCAAGAAATGTTCAGGCTCTTTCCCTCTTTAATTAAAAAATAAACCCTGACAGACCATTTATGGAAAATCAGCATAGCAACCTATCTGTAATAAATATGTTCAGTATCCATAAGAATACTGAGAGAGACAGGCAGAAGAGCAAAGAAGCTGGAAGTCAAAGAGGTTTCAACACTGGGCTTTCTGAGAAAGGAGCATCCTTTAGTAGTGGGTTAAACAAAACTTACTTCATTTCCTGAACTTAATTTAAGGAATGGCCCAACCTCACCTCGCAGTGCTCCAGGCTTAAGAGGTGGAGTCCTGGAACCTGCTACAAATCCCTTCAATACTTTGTTCAGGGCGAGGCCCCAAGAAATGCTCCAACTGCACTTCTCCAACGCTCACGCGCACAGAACTGTTAACTCTATTACTCATCTGTCAAGTACTTCCTGTGATAAACAGAAGTGTGTGAGCACAATGAACCGCTAACTATACTTCAGTTTATCTAACAAAAGCAGAAAATGTGGCACTAAAAACAAGTGTGCAAGTTAGCTAAGGTCAGGGACCATGCAGCATTTTATTTATCAGATACTGTCAGTTATATTATGCTTTATCCCTAGTACTTCATACATATTAACTGTTCAAAGACCAAATGTGTGAGTCCACTCAGACTTCAAGAGTAACCTGTGAAATAGTGCCAGTCCTCAACATGAGGAATGGGGGTAACCACCAAAAACGTCTAATTTGTTCCCTGACAAAATTAGGGGTTTTAAATAACGGATAAATACAGTAGGGTAAAACTAGCAAATGTAATGTTAACAGGGGTAATTACACAGACCTACATGTGTACATGGAAATGGAACTATGTAAATCCAAGGCAGGGAGACCAGGCCCGGTCAGGCACGGAATGGGAGGGAGGCAGCAGGGTGATCTGCGAAATCAGGAGCCATTGCGCATCCCTAACTGAAAACCTCACTATTCTCCCGTCACTACTGG